TACCAACACGATAAAATTTCATTAAAGCAGTGTTCTAATACCTCATTCAAACAAAAGAAAGACGTGCTTTCAGTCAAAAAGACAGGAAATACCTCAAAAATTAAAATAAAAATTTGAATACTCATTTGAAAGGTTTAAATTAATTATTAGCTTCCAACAAGAAACAGATCAGAAAAAAGTAGTCTTCACCGATTAACAGACATATTACTACAACCTCAAATTGAATCCCAGGAAATTTTAAGCATCTATGATAAAAAAACATACAGGAAAGTTGTTAACAGTATTCAACTCTCCGAAAATTGACAGGGGATACTTTTTTTAAATCTTAAGTTAATGACTTATTTAAATATAAAAATTAAGCAATTCACAATTGGAATAAATTTTTTAATTTGTATACTTCAAGACATACATCTGTTTCAATATTCCCTACATCTCTTTAACATGAATTAATACAAACCTTGTTAAAAACATTGTACAAATTGATACACAAACAGCGATGATACAAACAATGTACAGGTAAAACCTGTAAATAATTTCTAGCATGATCTGGCATTTATTGAACATTTTTATACTGCAGTGTGTTCAGAGTTATCAACCTCATAGCCAATCACAGGACGGACAGCTCGGATTTTTATATTTGCTACTAAACAAGTTCAAGGAAGAACGATGACGAAAGAAACTTAAGCTGACTCAGACTGCTGCCCACTATAGAAAAGTGTATTTAATTTTTTTAATTTAGAACATGCAATATTACACTAGTTGTTTTCATTACTGTTTACATTCTTAAAATAGCCATATGTTTGCTGAAAATACAGTATCTCACCACAACATTTAACCATGCTCATAAATCAAATCATAATCATCAGCTAATAAAATTCATTTTTATACATCATTTTGTTTTATGGAATAAAATATTCTACATGTAATAATCTGCCTTTATAGTTTGTTGACGTTTTAAGTGCGCATTATGATTAATCGTAGTGAATGTAACTGTTCTACAATAACTCACTGTAAATTGATGACTAATGATCATTCAGAATAAAGAAATGAAAAATATGGCATATTTTTAACTTTCATCAAGGGCAGATTCATAAATAAACCAGAAATCCTAATGAATTTTATTTTTCAGACTTACTTATCTAATTCTCAGCAAAATATAGAATTTAGATGGATGTCCATTTATTTTATTTTATATTAATGTGGTGAAAACACACTAATATTGTCATATTATAAATATTGCTTTATTTAATAAATATTAACTATAATGTACATATTTGAAGACAATTTATTAATACCATGGTGTAAATACAAAAAAACAATAGTAGGGCCTTGTTCTAACATTCTTGCTTAACCATAGAATTTTTTTAAATAATTCAAATTCTGTATATTTCTTTGTAATTAAATAATTATCATCCCAGCAACAAGAAATTATAGAAAAGTAATAGAAAGCATTGTAGTCTGGTTTCCAAAGAAATCAATAACCAGATGAAGTGCAAATGTTAAGGACATCAAAAAAAGACAAACTAGACACAAAAACACTACACATTTGATGAAACGAAAGGAACGCATGGAAGGTGTTGAAATGTGGGAGACCAACTTTACCTCCCAATTCTATCAACACCTCAGTCTTATCTTTATACAAAGGTGTAGCTGAAGGCTTAATTTGGAGATAAAGGTAAAATATCTCTAGAGTCTCACAAAACTGACCACCCAAAAGATTTAACCAATAAAATACAAGACAACAAAGAAAATTCAATCATATATTGAACTTAAATTGGAACTCACAAAGGGAGAAAATAATTTTTAAAACTTTAGGGAGAAATGTAATTGTAGGATGATGTTCTATCTATTGGTTCTTGACCTCATGTTAACACCTCACTAGTAAAGTCTTCATATCAGCACTAATTTGCAAACATTCCTACCTAGTTCTGAAGCCAGGTACCCCAGAGAAGAGTTCAAAGCACTAAATTGGTCACACAGAAATGCAATGGAATGTTACTAAGGCTGAAGTTATGCGATGAAAACAGGAAAATGCTGTAAATAACATTCCTACAATTTAGTTGCATGTTTGATATATGTATCCTTTCAGGTTGAATCTGAAAGGAAACATTTAATAAACTAACAAGCTATGCTATGTTATGTAACATAGTACAGTAGTTTCAATAAAGGTCTAATTACATCATAATGTTTAAAAAATTATATAGCTTCTTTTCATATATTGATATGACTATGTATGTAGGTCTACTGTGGCCTATCATTAGTATTTAATATAACATTTTTGTGGGGAAAAATTTTTAATATATTTTACCGCGCAAGTATAAAGATAATTAAATTATCAACTAGAAATTGCAAATTGCAAGTGAAGTGCTGCGAAGTACAACTGCATAAAATGTTCTTCGAACAAAATTATTTATGCGAGTCAAATGAAAATAATGAATAATAAAAATATAACAAATAATATGAGCACGACCCATTGTTATATTATTAGAACAGCGTTGGTACAATAGTGTTTTGCTGCAGTGACATCTCTCTGCTGGCGATGGCTCGCTGCTGCTGGCGATGACTCGCTGCTGGCGAATCGATCTGCGCATGTGTATAAAATGGT